ATTCCTGCGGCTCTAGGAGAGCAGACTCGCTCATTGTTAATATCCTCGGAGCAATTAATGCATATGTGGTTCGTGAAATCATTGAGCCTGGTGGAAAGTCATGTACTAATATGGTTTGTAGCCCTGGTAAGAAGCTTGGGACGTGCCGCTTGTCTAAGAGGAGCACACACAAAGGGAAAATAGGGCTACAAAGACGAAGTTTAAAGAGCGGGCAGGGGGGTGTTTAGCAGGGAAGCGTTTCGAGTTCCCGCAGGAGAACGCGGCGCGTTTCAGCCTGCGAGCGAACTGCACGGATTTGTAGGTTACAACATGTGCTGCATACCAAGCTCGGCCATCTGTGCCTAGAGACAGTGACAGCATTGACTTTAAAATGTTTCGGTCGTCTTAGGTAGGATGAAGTTCTTAACCTTACTGCAAGGCAGGGTTGGTTGGTTGTTGGTTGGGTTGGGTTTTTTTTCCCCTTTTTTAAAGTTTCACTGAATTAATTTAGCCCAGTTATTTTTAGGACATTCCTATGCTCCCTATTTGCACAGCAGTGGTGAGCTGGTTTCCTGTCTGCTGTTGCTTCCATTGTTCAGACTTTTCTCCCTGAGGGCAGCTGCTGGTTGGTGAAATACCAAACTCCCTGCACTTTCAACTGTTGTTCTTGCCACCCGTGAAATAAATGCGTGTGAAAAATGCTGACGTAGTTTCTAGGTATGCATGTGTAGGGCTTTGTGCGTGTGTGTATGTGTGTGTGAGAGGGGGGGAAAAAGTATCTGCTTTGAGGATTGCAAGTCCTCGGCTGAAACAATGGAAACAATGAAAGGTGACAGGCGGGATGGAGAACTTTTGAGAGGTGCCCTGGGCCTGGGGTTTGCGTGGCAGAAATTAAAAGGTGTAGAGACAAAGAGGGGAAACTTTTTAAAAATATGTTAAAGCTAGGGTGCCTTTGATTGATTAAAGATTTGGCTTGTAGTTATTTGTGACCTCCTGGCATCTGGGGTTCATTCAAGAACTTTCAAAGAGTGGCTTTGTTACAGATTTCTTGCTTGCGCTCCTAGAAAAGTCCCGTTTAAAGAAAAAAAAAAAAATATAGCACAGCCAAGTCTGGTTGCTTTAGAAGCAATGGAACCCAAGTTGTGAAATGCAGAGGAAAACAAGTAAGCTGCTTCCTCATTTCTGAAACTTATTTGGAGGAAAAAGGCTTTTTTTTAACTGTGGAAATTCCCTTTTGCATCCTTGTAGTTTGTGTTTGCTTATAATTTTAAGGGTTTTTTGTTGTTGGTTTGTAAAGTCACATTTAATTTAAGTTAGGTTTCTTTGTGTGTTGGATTTTTTGTGTGTTTTTTTTTTAATTGAGTTTTTTGTGTTTTAATTTGTGCATGAACCCCCCAGGACTCTTCTGTGGATAGTTTCATTTACAAATAATAAGGTGATAGTAATCACTCTGAACATATTCAGCTTGTTAATTAGCTGATTTAGAATACAATCTCGCAAAGACACAGGCATGTACTCAAGTTTATACATGTGAGGAATCCTACTGAACTTGGTTACAACAGGTTCGGGGCCTTAGATGAGAACCGGTTCTGTTTATCTGTGCTTTTAGAAAGAATCCAGCTTAAGAAATTCAGAGAACCCTAAGGGGATGGGAGGTTTTCCGAAAGGTGATTTCTGTCTATCTCTTCTCTGGAGGGCAGAGATTGTTCCTTGTGGCATACTTTGTCCTGTTTTGAATAACAATTGGCTTCTGCCACTTCCTCTTGTGAAGCCCTTCCTCGACACAATGGGACAGTTGTTGGTGTGGGTTTTTTTTCCTGATACTCAGCCTAAATTTGCTTAACTTCCATTTAGTTTGTCTCAGTCTCTCTAAATACTTTGTCCTCCCCCTGAAAAGTATTTTCATGCCTTCTTAAGCAGCAGTAGTCAATTTTGAGATCGACTTTAGTCATCGCCGTACTTTTACTCAAGTCGTTTCAAGCTGTTAACGGTTGGGTGTTGAGCCTAGACTCGAGATCCCAGGTTGTAATCTTCCCTGAGCCGATTACCGGGGGACCTGTAAAGTCTCTGGGCTGTGAGACAGTGCAGCAGTGCGTCCAGTCATGTACATGACTTCAGCTGGGAAGCCACGTGGATGAAGTAATTTATAAAGAAGGGATGCTGATCATGGAGTCGTTGGGTCATTCAGTAGCATCTAAAGTGGTGGCGGCGGGAGTGGAGAACTGAGATTTTGTAGCGCTTTTCAGACCTCTCTGCAAATGAACTTGTGCTGCTTTAATTCAGTCCTGTAAAAGCAGTTCTTCTGTTTAGATTTGATGTATTTAGCAGACATAAAATCACCTGGCGCTAGCCTGCATTTAAGACAAAATAAATTGGTAGGTCAGCTGGGGCTGCTTGTTGTGTCCACAAGCTTTTATTCTGGGAGTAAATAGCAGTAACCCAATGGCCCGGTCGTGGAGCTTGGCCAGGAGCCTTTTCAGTTGGGCCCTGTTAAAACAGGAAACCAGCATCAAATAGCCTGATTACTAACAAGAGGGAAAAACAAAGCTGGGCTGTAATCA